GTGCCCAGCTGGGGATGCCTGGCTGCCAGGATACAGCACCGAGTGTTCCCTTGGTCACTACCAGATGGGCACAGTCATGGCCTTCCAAGTCTGTCTCTGCAGCATCACCCCAGAGGCAGGTCCCAGAGCCGGCTGCTCCTCCTCTGGGAGAACAACTCATCCCACCAGGGCCCCCCAGTAGCAGTTCTGGGCCCGATGGGAAAACTACCAGGCCCAGGGTTCGTTCCCAGCGAAATTCTCTCTTGGTCCCTTCGAGTCCTACGATCCTAGAGGTAACAGTTAGCTGCCTCCAGCAACAGATCCTGCCCCACCTGCCATGCATCCCGCAGCCCCTCTCAGTCCATCAGGCCAAGCATACGACCAACCTGTAGAGAAGCAGGAGCTGGGGCTCCCAGTGGCCTTCTTGCCTGGGCACCTCGTTCTCAGCCCTCTCCCCCCCAGACTACAGGGCCCTTCCGGACTTGCTTTGCAAAGCTGCCACTAGTCTAAAGCTACAGGCGGAGGAGGTGGACGTGTAACAGGATGACCCCATCATAGAATCATAGACCAGTAGAACGGGAAGGGACCTCGAGAGGTCATTGAGTCCAATCCCCTCCCCTCACGGCAGGACCCAGCACCGTCTAGACCATCCCTGACAGGTGTCTGTCCATCCTGCTCTTCAATATCTCCAGGGATGGAGATTCCACAACCTCCCTGGGCATAGATGTCCTGACTACAGACAGCCCCTCCAGAGTGGCTCCACCAAGACCACGTGGCAAACACTCACCTCCCTCCCTCCCACGGTGGAAGGGGTGGAGCGTGAATGCTTTGTGCTGGTAATAGGCTTTGACTATCTCTTTCCCACTCCCCTCCGTGCTCTCTAGTCACAAAGGTGGTTAATGAAAAGGAGCAACAGGACCACCATGCTCTGGCCCTGAAGTTTAAGGACACTTTTTTAACGTGGAGTGGGGAGTGGGGTGGCTGTTGCTCCATTTTGCCAACCAGCAAGCTATCCTGAGCCGTTATAACTTTCATGCCTAGTCTTCTCTCCTGAAGCTTTAGGACCAGCTCCTCCAGGATTCTCATAGGCTGTGTCTACACTGGCAAGTTATTCCGGAAAATCAGCCGCTTTTCTGGAAAAACTTGCCAGCTGTCTACACTGGCCGCTTGAATTTCCGGAGAAGCACTGACGATCTAATGTAAAATCATCAGTGCTTTTCCGGAAAAACTATGCTGCTCCTGTTCAGGGAAAAGTCTTTTTCCGAAAGACTTTTGCGCAAAAGGGCCCGTGTAGACAGCACAGTACTGTTTTCCACAAAAAAGCCCCGATCGCGAAAATGGCGATTGGGGCTTTTTTGCGGAAAAGCGCGTCTAGATTGGCCACGGACGCTTTTCCGCAAAAAGTGCTTTTCAGGAAAAGCATCCTGCCAATCTAGACGCGCTTTTCCGAAAATGCTTTTAACGGAAAACTTTTCAGTTAAAAGCATTTCCGGAAAATCATGCCAGTGTAGACGTAGCCATAATGAATTCACAGCCCTTGTCCAGGATGGAAAGGTGGTCTCCTGTATTTGCATCCAAGCCTCATTAGACACAGGGACTCGGTGGCATGGGTCTTAGTCTTCAGTATTGCCCTGAGATGGGTGGCATGACTCCAGCCTTCAGGAATGTCACATAAAAAGTCAGATGTGTGGCCTGCAACTCAGCAGGTTAGGATGGAAGTTTCCATCCCTGGAGTACACAGCTTAGCATGACCTAGAACCTTGCAAACGCAAACAGCAGCTGGACTTTATCACCTTAAACCAGTGGTCCCCAATGCGGTGCCTGAAGGTGCCATGGCGCCCGCCGGGGCATTTATGTATGCCCGCCGAAACATCTGGGCTGGCCCCGCCCCCTGACGCGCAGCACACGCGTGGTGATGGCCCGGGCGCAGGGCACGTGGGCGGCTCCTGCCCTGGCTGCAGGGCGCATGGGTGGCCCCTGCCCCGGGTGCGCAGCGCATGTGCAGTTCCACCCCCGGATGCCTGGTGCATGAGCGGCCCTGCCCCCGGGTGCCTGGCATGGGCGGCTCCTACCCCCGGCGTGCGGCACATGCACGGTGCCAGGTGCAGGGCGTGTGGGCAGCCCCTTCCCTGGGCGCACAGCACAGGAGTGGTCCTGCCCCTGGACATCCAGCGCATGAGTGGTCCCGCCCCCGGATGCCCGGGCGCCTAGCAACCGCAAACAGTTGGGGACCACTGCCTTAAACCCATGCCTTGAGCTGGGAAAACTACCGAGCAGAAAACAAGTTTGACCTCGGTTCCCAGCCCCATGGGAACACAGAGGATATGTCTAGACTGCACCCCTCTGTCAGCAGAAGGATGCAGATTAGGCAGGTCAACATGGCAAATGAAGTGGGGATTTAAATATCCCACCCTTCATTTGCATAAAAATGGCCACCACTTTTTGCCAACTCAGCACTTTGTCCGCAAAAAGTGGCCGTCTAGAGGGGGATCGGTCGAGAAAGAAAGCCTTTTTCGACAGATCCCTTATGCCTCCTGCAAGGTATCTCCCAGGTGGGGTGAGCATTGAAAGACGCAAGCGATTGGGGTGACTGGAGCAGACGGGTACAGGGTGTCGGGTGTTTCTAACCCCCAGGTGCCAGAAGTGCTGGGGCATTGTGGGAAGTGCTTTGTATTCATGCCCATCAGTGTGAAAGAAGCTATTTTCATATATATTGGCATGTATATGCAACCGCACTTAAATTACAGCACTCGGCATGTGCTGTGAGTATCACTGCGGCCTCCGGGGCGTCCAAAGTTGAGTAACCCTGAGCTAGGGTAAAAACTTTCCAACACTCATGCAACACCTCATATTGGAATAGATCTGAACACGCTACCTCAAAAAACAACCGTTACAACAGCGAGTGACTATTTCGCATCTAAAAAGTGAGTTTCTAGCCCTAGTGACTACAGAGAAAAGCTTGTCAATGTGACCCCCTAAAAGCTACACCTGAATCCAGACACCCTCAGAGCTGTTATTTTAAAGTCAGTCTCATGGCCTGGAGGAGCCCAACTCATGATTATTGAACACTGGGCTAGCAAGGCTGCTCCGGTCACAAACGAGGGGCTGGGAAGCATCTGGATCCCCCTGCTGGGAATTCCCTGTAGGTAGAGGGTTGTCACATGAGCCCCACACGGCTCTGACTCCACGCCCAGCATGTGGGGAGAATGGGGTGTGGGCAGAGCATTCAGAGCTCTAGCTGATCTGGGCTGGGGGAAGTTGCCCTAAATTCAAGCAACAGCCTGAGGACAAGCCCAGCCTAGAGCCGCCTTTGCCACTCCTACCCCGTGCAGCCTAGAATCCATCTCACCATTTCCTGCTGCGTGTCAATCCCAGGCAAGGAGGCACCGAGGGCAGAGCAGTTCTTCTGGCTGTCGGTCCAGTTTGCTTCAGCCTCTGAGAAATAGTAACACTTCCCCAGGTACCCGACCCAGCCATCAGGGCAGGCAGCCACTGGATCAGCTGGAGATGCGAAAGCAACAGGGTGAGACATTTGCCTGTCTCCTGCTGTAATCAATGGTACAACCCACCAGTGACGGTGTAAGAAGCAACCCCCTTCCCCCCGCACCCTCTAGACCAGGGCAAGCTGAGCTTGTGCCTAGACACGTTCCCTTTTGCAACAACAGTGGCCAGCACCTGCCCCCTCACAATCAGCTCCTCAAAGCGACACCAGCTCTGAATTTGGAGCCACGTTTCCAGCTCTGGGCTCCTTTGCTGCAGCCCCAGTTTTGTCCCCTGCAAGCGCAGACGCTGCCAGTGAGATCCTGAGCACAAGGCGCAAAGACAGGCTCAGAGCGGGCTCCACACTCACCTGCGGGGGTGCTGAGGCTGCAGAGCATGACGATGATGACGCTGATTAAAATGAGGTTGAGAACCAGGCTCAGCACGGCCAGGGGAAGTGCCCGGGATTTCAACGCAGAGAGCCAACCTGTAACAGACGGAGCCGTTAGCGCTCCTACTGCTCCTGCAGCAGGGGACAGGCCCTGCATTTACCAGCAGTATCGGCTGGAACTGGCTTGTGAAGGGGGATACAGTGAACCCTCGTTTATCGCGGTAGATAGGTTCCAAACCCGACCGCGATAGCTGAAAATCCGCGAAGTAGGGACACCATATTTACGTATTTATTTAACATGTATATTCAGACTTTTAAAACCCTCCCTTTACGTAGTACTGTTAACAAACCACCCTTTAATGTACAGAACACTTAATGCATGTACTACAGTACCCTAAACTAAAACAGGCACAAATATTAAAAAAATCCGCGATATATTTCTTTTATAATATATACATACGTAATGAAAAAAGTCCGCGAAGTCGTGAATCCGCGATGGTCGAACCGCGAAGTAGCGAGGGCTCACTGTAGTTTGCAACTAGAGAGAGAAGCTTGGAGTGAATATTTTGATTCCATGTGGGAGCAAAAAGGTGTTTCAGGAGGGAAAATGCCCCCAGAGACATTGGCTTCAATTTGAGATTGTCAGAGACGTCTCCTGAGAATGTGTCCAATGGAAAATGAGTTTGTGAAAGAGAGAGACTAGGGGGGAGGAGATGGCAAACCTCCAAATCTACAATTGATCCTTTTCCTATTTCAAAACACAAAGATCTCTCCAAAACCTGAACCATGTCCCTGTGAAGTGCAGACTAGCCTTGTTTCTATCTGAGACCCTGAGAGCTTTGTTATTTTTTTACCATCTTCATACACCTCTAATACCATTAACTCACAAACATCTCACTCTCCCCACCTCTAATATCGTCAATTCACAGACACTTACCTTCCTTCCTCCCCCCCCCTGCATCCCCCTCCTGTTCTGAAATGTGATTTGTCCTTTTCATATGTGTTCATTTTTTTTAACTGTATCCTTTGGTATATATGGTTGTGACTATTTTCTTCCACTGTTTGATCTGAGGAAGTGGGTCTGGCCCACGAAAGCTCATCATCTAATAAACCATCTTGTTAGTCCTTAAAGTGCTACATTGTCCTGCATTTTGCTTCAGCTACCCCAGACTAACACGGCTACATCTCTATCACTATTCTCCTAGCTGATTTAAGTGTTTTGTCTTTTGAGGACTGGCCACAAGAGGGAGATACAGGCCTCACTGGGTTCCTGCAAGTTATCCAGGGGCAGAGGACATTGCAAAAAGGCCCCACAGAGGCAGTGGTACCTGTAGGATGGATTGTGCTGCTCTCTCCATCCGGGGCTCTTCTGTTTGGTCTCAGGTGACTTTCCTGGGAACTCAGGAGTGGCTCCGACCTCTCAGCAGGTGACCCATTCCCCACCTCTTTTCCTTGTGGAAGATGTGTGGGCTCCGAAGGCAGAGACATACTCCCTGGAACCCCGTTTCTTCAGCCAGTGGTAGCTACGGCCTGGTCACTGTGGGTCTGGCAGGGCCGGCCGAGCCCTTCCTAAGGGCAGTTTCAATGCAGCTCCCTCGATTACAGCTCGGGCACGGTTTGGCTTTGTGGGATGATCTGGGAACTTCCCTCTTCAATAACATTTGCTGGTGAGTTTTCACCAATGCCCCGACAAGCCGGGCTGGGTCTCAGCTGGTTTCCAATGAGCTGTTCCAAAGCTCTGCTTTTATCCCCAGGGCCGAGCAGGCCTCGGCAGGCACCGACCAAACCAGCTCCAGGTGCTGAAGGATCCTGGCTCCAGGTCTCTTCCCCGGTGCCCAGCGGGGGGCTGGGCTGGCAAGTCCCTGTGGAGAGAATTGACCACGTCACTCGGGCTGGCTGGTGTCGCTGGTTTATCTGCCCAGCCCCAGCCCTGCGCAGCCAGGGCAGGTGGAGCCGACAGAGCTGGGGCTGCCCTGGTTTCTCTGCAGCTGCTGTCGACCGAAAGCTTCCAAAGCCCCTGACAGACACAGGGAGATGCCTGCTGGACAGGGCCAGTTCCATGGACAGAGGGTTCCATGGACAGTTTGAACCCTGGCTCAAGCTGAATGTCCCCTTCCACCTACACCCACTTTGTGTGGGGATGGAGATCCAAAGCCGAAGTCCGGCTGGGACCTGGATTCAAGCCCAATTGCCTTGCATTGTGGCCGCAGCCCTTAGGACCCCTGCTCCCAAAGGCTGCTGAAAATCTGCCCCCTGCCCAATTTTCCTGCTCTGAAGCTGCAGAGTTAAGTTAATTGTAGGCTACGTCTAGACTGGCATGATTTTCCGGAAATGCTTTTAACGGAAAAGTTTTCCGTTAAAAGCATTTTCGGAAATGAGCATCTAGATTGGCACGGACGCTTTTCCGCAAGAGGACTTTTTGCGGAAAAGCGTCCGTGGCCAATCTAGATGCGCTGTTGCGCAAAAAAAGCCCCGATCGCCATTTTCGCGATCCGGGCTTTTTTGCGCAAAACAAATCTCAGCTGTCTACACTGGCCCTTTTGCGCAAAAGTTTTGCGCAAAAGCGACTTTTACCCAAACGGGAGCAGCATTAGTATTTCCGCAAGAAGCACTGATTTCTTACAGTAGGAAGTCAGTGCTTTTGCAGCAATTCAAGTGGCCAGTGTAGACAGCTGGCAAATTTTTCAGGAAAAGCGGCTGATTATCCAGAAAAACTGGCCAGCCTAGACACAGGCATTGTAATCTGCTTGAATGACTGAGCAGAAAGAAAATTCAAGTTAGGCAATAAAGCTGCTCATTGAGGCTATGTCTACACTACCTCTGATATCCCGGAAAAACTCTGCCATGTCCAGGGAACACATTCGCTTTTCAGCTCAGTTTCCAAAAAAAGCGGGTGCGTTCTTTCAGAAGCCATAAAATGAGGAATAAGAGCTCTTCTGAAAGGGGACTTTCCCACATTTGGCCCTATGTAGATGGGCCAAATGTTGAAAAAGCCTCTCCTGAAAAAAGAATCGGAAGAAGGTACGCAACTTGTGGTTTGAAATTTGTGTACCTTTTTCCAAAACAGAATTGTGGTGTAGACAGCCTGAGAGAAACCAAACAAAGCAACTTAAGCAAAGAGAGTCACAATAAAAATTCCTCTGCCTTGCCTGGGCCAGACATAAAGCAGAGTCTGTATAGGAGACACTTAAAAAACAACCAATGGTTTGGTAGCATTTTAAAAAACAACCAAACACCTGGATGGGATCACCAGCTTTTGGGGTCTGGACAATCCAGAGCAGCTCAGAGGTTGGAGCCCCGCAGACTCGGCACTTCCCAGTCCCCGGGCTGTGCCCCGGTGGGGTCCCGGGGGACAGGTGGGAGGAGGAGCGCAGCAGAAATGAAAGCGAAACTGGGTTCGGGCCGCGCTGCGCCGGGAGCCGATCCTGTGACCTCCGGGCCGGAGCTGGGTGAGCAGGGGGAGGGGAGGCTGCTGGGCACCCGCTGGTTCTGCTTTCTCCAGCCTAGTTTTCCTTGCGCAAGGCGAGTTGCGTCCGGCCTGGCCTGAATGGGGAAGTGTCCATGTCGCAACACCCAGGCCCGCTGCATTCCCCCCCCGCAGCGCACCCGGGGCAGGGCCGGATGCTTTGGGCGCTGCTGCATCCATCCACCCCTGGACCCCTCGGAACTTGGCCCGGGTCTCTCCTGCAAACAGCCCGGGCAGCCACGAGGCACAGACACTGGCGCGTGGCCAAGGGCGTGGGCTGGTCTCCAGTTGCGCATTGTGAAAGCGGGCCCCAGGATGGGGTGTGGCTAAGCAGGGCCAGATCAAAGTTAAGAGGGGCCCATTCCCAGTGTGGGGGAAGGGCCCTCAGCTCTCCTCTGGCCCACAGTGCAAAGCAAAAGTCCTGGCACAGGTGCCCTCCTAAGCCCACTCCGCACTTCTTATGGCTTCTGAGGACCATGATGAGCTTTTGGTTCACATAAGGAAGCCCTTCAGAGGTACAATGGAGATGTAAGCGCCCAGTCGACTATCCAATCAGTCAGGCTACGTCTGCCCCCTACCCAATTTTCCTGCTCTGAAGCTGCAGAGTTAAGTTAATTGTAGGCTACGTCTAGACTGGCATGATTTTCCGCAAATACTTTTAACGGAAAAGTTTTCCGTTAAACGTATTTGCGGAAAAGAGCATCTAGATTGGCAGGACGCTTTTCCGCAAGAGGACTTTTTGCGGAAAAGCGTCCGTGGCCAATCTAGACGCGCTTTTGCTCAAAAAAGCCCCGATCGCCATTTTTGCGCTTGGGGCTTTTTTGCACAAAACAAATCGGAGCTGTCTACACTGGCCCGTTTGTGCAAAAGTTTTGCGCAAAAGGGACTTTTGCCCGAACGGGAGCAGCATAGTATTTCCGCAAGAAGCACTGATTTCAGACAGTAGGAAGTCAGTGCTTTTGCGAAATTCAAGCGGCCAGTCTAGACACAGCCTCTGTGCTTATCAGATAGTCAACTAGTAACTCAACTATTCGCTCTTCCACTCCCCTCTTATCTTGCAGGGGGGGGGGCGGGAGAGGGCAGGAGCCAGTGCTGGCAGGGGGCTGGGTTAAAAGCAGGTTTCCCCCAACACTGTCTCCATGGGAGTGAGGCAGGGAAGCATGGGGAAGTCTGCCTTTGAAATGTAGCAAGAGCTTGCTACATTTCAAAAGCAGAAGCAGCCTCATGGACTCACTGAATAGTTTGGATGCAAATTAGATGGACTATTCGATGAGCTGATTAATCTAAATGTAACGTCCTTAGTGTAAAATCTCCTGAGGTAGTGGAAGTTAATAGTGGGAAAATTACACTGGGTGACATTGTAGTTTAGGCTGCCTTGTTCTGAAAGCCCCGACTCCCGGTGTAGCGCTGGCTCAGCACAAGGAGTGACTGTGCTCACACCCAACCCAGGTGTTGTTTGTGGGATCATGCCCAGTTTGTGCAGTGAACCTCCACTGATACACCCCACAGGCTATCTGGCCACCAAGCTCTTCCACCACGGTAGCCAAAGTATAGAGTCCTGGGACTCAAGAGGTTGTCTGGCCTGGCCTGGCGCCCATCTGTCCCCCCTGCACTCACCACAGGACTATCCCAGGCAATGGGATCAGCAGCTCTCACACTGCATGAGGGTTAAGCAAACAAAAAGAATTAATGGAAAATCAGCATCTTAAAACAACCAGTAAGGCCCTTTCAAATGTACAGTCCAGCCCCACCAGGACTGGTGTTTGTTTGCTAGGCTGGGGTAGCCGCAGGGGCTGCTTTGCCTTTCCGGCTGGCAGGATCAAACCAGGCTCCAGCAGGGCCAGGTAAGAACAGGTGATCCCCTGCCTGACCAGCAGCGGGGCTAAGGCTGTAGCCTTATGAGCCTCATGGTTAATCCAGCCCTGCCTGTGGGAACTAGAACCTCAGCCCCCCCCACCCCAATTCATCTTGTAGCGAGCTGCGAGTTGCTCCTGTCTTGCTTCCGTCATATGGAAGACATTGGAGGAAGGAACTTTTTTGCTTTGCTTGTTCTTTTAGCTCCTCAACTTCTCTTTATGCCACACCCCAGACAGTTTCTCTTTATCTGCCAGGCTGTGAATCTTCTGAGAAATGTGCAGCAAGTGTTTCACCTAAATGATCAAAAGAGAGACCACTGATGGTGAAGAAGAATATTAATCATAGAATCATAGAATAATAGGACTGGAAGGGACCTCGAGAGGTCATCGAGTCCAGCCCCCCGCCCTCAAGGCAGGACCAAGCTCCGTCTACACCATCCCTGACAGATGTCTATCTAACCTGTTCTTAAATATCTCCAGAGAGGGAGATTCCACCACCTCCCTTGGCAATTTATTCCAATATTTGACCACCCTGACAGTTAGGAATTTTTTCCTAATGTCCAATCTAAACCTCCCCTGCTGCACTTTAAGCCCATTACTCCTTGTCCTGTCCTCAGAAACCAAGAGGAACAAATTTTCTCCTTCCTCCTTGTGACACCCTTTTAGATATTTGAAAACCGCTATCATGTTATATTAAACTAAACGATAAGTGAATCCAGACAATTAGTAAAGCAGGAGTAAAGGAGGAGTAAATAACAGTCTCATTAAAACCTCTTACCATGTATTTAAAGTCCAACACACATTCTTTGTGGACCCAGGGCAGAACAGCTGTTGCCGGTCGCTGACTGGACTTCAGAAAAGGAGGAGGAACACTGACTCAGCTGTGACTGTATGGGCTAGTGACACTAACAGCTGGACCCCGCCCCCAGGCAGCAAACTCAGGCGGGGCTTAAGGCTCTTTCGAAGCTCCGCCCTGACACATTTTAGTAGTATTTACACACCCAGCTTGGCTCCACAATGTGACATCAACTGAACCTTTGAATCTGTCTGTTCAAAAACTCTTAAGCTGTAACACCGGTGATACTCAGACTGGGTTTGCAAGACACACCTGGCTCTGTGATGTCTCTGCTGCCATTCTTTACGGAACATGACATTGACACAGTGCGATTTAACTAGTATCCAATCAGGCTGCTTTTACTGTGTTGTTAACTAATTGAGGGGACATGAGAGCAGTTTTCAAGTATCTAAGCAGGTGTTACAAAGAGAAGGGAGAAAAATTGTTCTCCTTGGCCTCTGAGGATAGAACAAGAAGCAATGGGCTTAAACTTCAGCAAGGGAGGTTTAGGTTGGACTTTAGAAAAATCTTCTTGTCGGGGTGATTAAGCACTGGAATAAATTGCTTAGGAAAGATGTGGAATCTCCATCACAGGAGGTATTTAAGAGCAGGGATGGCCTAGATGGTGCTAGGTCCTGCCATGAAGGCAGGGGAACTGGATTCGAAGACCTCTCAAAGTCTCTTCCAATTCTAGGATTCTATGTTTCTATGTTTCAACGTGCATAAGTCATTGACTTTTTTGCTCTGAGGATAACAGATGCCAGGGTGTCTGCATGTGTCTATGCCAAATATTTCGCTGCCGTGCTGTTTAAACATGACTAGCACGGTAGTAAATGACACAATGAAGTCACATGACTGTGGCTCTTTTGGTTCATGCGGGTCGCTAATTTGGTTCCTCGGTCACTCAATTCTGGGTATCACAAGTATAAACAGACATGACCCAAAAAGAACTGCGGGACCAGGCCCCATTGACCCCAGAGGGGCGTTGGCTCATTTCACCAGCTGGGGAACTGGGCTCAGGGATATCAGTGGGGCTGCCTCAGGTCACACTAGCTGGGGGGCCTGGCCCCACTCTCTGTCCATGAAACTGGTCCTTCCATCAGGTGTCTTCCTGTGTGTGTCAGGGGCTTTGGGAACCTTCAGCCGACAGTGGTTATAGAGAGACCCCAGCTCTGTCAGCTCCACCTGCCCCAGCCGCCTTGAGTGACCCAGTAATTCTCTTTGCAGGAACCCTCCAGCCCATCCCCTGCTGGGTGCCAGGGAAGAGACGTGGAGCCAGGATGATTCTGTGATGTGGAGCTGGTTTGGTGAGCACCTGGCTGGCCCCGGGGATAAAAGCAGCGCCCAGGAGAGCTTTGGAACAACTCACTGGACCACGGCTCAGACCCAGCCTGGCTGGTCGGGGTATTTGGGCCAAACTCCCCAACAAATGTTATTGGGAAGGGGGGTTCCCCGATCACCCCACGTAGCCAAATCACACCTGAGCTGCAATCGAGGGAGCTGCATTGAAATTGCCCTTAGGAAGGGCTCTGCCAGCCCTGCCAAACCCACGGTGACCAGGCCATAGTTACTGCTGGCTGCAGAAAGGGGGTTCCAGGGAACATGTCTCTGCCTTCGGAGCCCACACGACCTTCTGAGAGGTCGAAGCCACTCGTGAGTTCCCAGGAAAGTCACCTGAGACCAAACAGAGGAGCCCCGGATAGAGAGACCGGCATGATCCATCCTACAGGTACCACTGCCTCTCTGGGGCCTTCTTACCATGTCCCCTGCCCCAGGGGAACTTGCAGGAACCCGGTGAGGCCTTTATCTCCCTCTCATTGCCATTCTTCACAAGACAACACCCTTAAATCAACTGCAGCCTTCAGTCTAACTGACTGGCTCAGTTTTTGTCTTTAGATCCAAGGTCCCTTCTCAGTCTTTGCCTGTTCACGGCACTTCCTGCTTCCATGCCCGACAGGCTGGTGAAATTCCCATTTGCGTCCTCTTGGTGGAAAATGCTTTTCCCAGCAAGGAAACTGCTTTTCCAAAATAATGACGCTCTCAGGGCCTCAGATGGAAACAAGGCCAGTCTGCCCTTCACAGGGACACGGTTTTGGTTTGGGGGGAGGGGGGAATCTTTGTGTTTTGAAATAGGAAAAGGATCAATTGGGGATTTGGACATTTGCAGTCTCCTCCCCCCCAGTCTCTCCCTTTCACAAACTCATTTTCCACTGGAAACATTCTCAGGGGACGTCTCTGACAATCTCAAATTGAAGCCAGTGTCTCTGGGGGCATTTTCCCTCCTGAAACGCCTTTTCCCTCCTGAAACGCCTTTTCCCTCCCATATGGAATCAAAATATTCGCGCTCAGCTTTTCCCTCTCGTTGCAAACTATCCCCCTTCACTAGCCGGTTCTAGCTGATGCTACTGGTAAATGCAGGGCCCGGCTCCCTGCCCCAGCACCAGTGGGAGCGCTAACGGCTCCGTCTGTTACAGGTTGGCTCTCTGCGTTGAAAACCCGAGCACTTCCCCTGGCCGTGCTGAGCCTGGTTCTCAACCTCATTTTAATCAGCGTCATCATCGTCATCCTCAGCACCCTCATCACTCGCCCAGGTGAGTGTGGAGCCCGCACTGACCCCGTCTCTGTACTGCAAGGTCAGGATCTCACAGGCAGCATCTGCATCTGCAGGTGGCAAAATTCAAGCTGCTGGAAATTGGCTCCAAATTCACAGCTGGTATCACTATGGGAGCTGATGGGAGGAGGGGAAGATGCTGGCCTGTCTCTTGCAAAGGGGAATGTGTCTAGGCTGAGCTTGCCCTGGTCTAGACACTGTCACTGGTGGGTTGTACCATTGATTACAGCAGGAGACAGGCAAATCTCTCACCCTGTTACTTTCTCATCTCCAGCTGCTCCCCTGGCCGCCTGCCCAGATGGCTGGGTTGGGTACCGGGGGAAGTGTTACTATTTCTCAGAGCCTAGAGCCAACTGGACCGACAGCCAGAAGAACTGCTCAGCCCACGGCGCCTCCCTGGCTGGGATTGACTCGCAGCAGGAGATGGTGAGACAGAGTCTGGGCTGCACGGGTTGGGGGTGCCAAAGGTGGCTCTAGGCTGGGCTTGTCCTGGGACTGGACGAGTCCTGGATGCTGCTTGAATTTATTCCAGTGATCACCAGGAAGAAGATCAGGATCTACTGGAAGATATTGGAGCCTTTGACATGGGATTGTTACTTCCGTTACTGCTTGCAAAGGGGGGTATTTTGTCTGTGCATTTCATCAGTTTCATTTCTCTCTTAGGATACGTCTAAACTACATGGCTCCGTCGACGGAGCCATGTAGATTTGTTGTTTTGGCAAAGGCAAATGAAGCCGCGATTTAAATGATCGCGGCTTCATTTAAATTTACATGGCTGCCGCGCTGCTGCTTGAATTTAGTGCAGTGATCACCAAGCAGTAGATCAGGATCTACTGGTAGATCTTGGAGCCTCTGACAGGGGATCCTAACTGGTTTGGCCAGGAAGCTACCAAGTGCTGGCACTTCAGTTTCCCCTTCCGCCACTGTCATGCTGCTCCTGCAATCTGCCTTGGAGTTGCCCACCAGAAGCCTTCTGCTTGCTGTGCAGGGTGTGGGAGGGAAAAGGGGGGAGACTGATATCAGGGTGTCCTTCCTCCCCCCACGCCTGTATCCATCTCCACACATAGAAGGGGCTGGAGGGAGCTTGGTAATGCAAATCTCTGTCACTTGCACACACTCTGTGTGTCTGTCATTCTCACACTGTCCTTCCCTCTCCTCTCCGAACCCAGCACAGATGTGGGAGGTTGTTGTTACTTCTGTTACTGCTTTCAAAGTGGCCTATTTTTGGTTTTTGACTGGGCTGGGCATTTCATCATTTTCATGTCTCTCTTACGCTTAAACGTAATTCTTTGAGCAGTGAGTTCTCAACTGCTGAGCCTGTCGTGGCTGGAGTCATTATCCCGGTGGGAATTGCTGCTCCTGGGTGTGGCTGGCACTTCCCTGCAGACACCGCTCCTGCAGCTCCC